CCCGCTCCTCTCCCCTTCCCCGCACCTCTCCCCTTCCCCGCACCTCTCCCCTTCCCCGCACCTCTCCCCTCTCCCTCCCAGTCAGATTGTAGAGTGTATGACCGGCCTCGCAGTCTGACTCTGTATCCCTGACAAGTATTGTTCTGTGCCCTTCACCCTGCCTTCCCTTACCCCAGACGGTTGTCCTCCTCTGAAGCCCCCTCGTCACGGGCGGATGCTGGGGGGAAAGCTGAAAGTAGGACACGAGGTGCATTTCCTGTGTGACCCGGGGTACCGCATGCTGGGCTCTGAGACCAGAACCTGCCTGAACAACCAGACCTGGAGCGGACTCGCAGCCAGCTGCTCAGGTATTGGCCGCAGTGGGTTCTCGCTGCTGATTGGCTGATTGGGGCGATGGGTTATGTTTACATGACCATAGAGAGTACTGACCGTAGACTGCACTGCATGACCATAGAGTGTACTGACCGTAGACTGCACTGCATGACCATAGAGTGTACTGACCGTAGACTACACTGCATGACCATAGAGAGTACTGACCGTAGACTGCACTGCATGACCATAGAGTCTAATGACCGCAGACTGCACTGCATGACCATAGAGTCTAATGACCGTAGACTGCACTGCATGACCATAGAGTCTAATGACCGTAGACTGCACTGCATGACCATAGAGAGTACTGACCGCAGACTGCACTGCATGACCATAGAGAGTACTGACCGTAGACTGCACTGCATGACCATAGAGAGTACTGACCGCAGACTGCACTGCATGACCATAGAGTCTAATGACCGTAGACTGCACTGCATGACCATAGAGTGTACTGACCGTAGACTGCACTGCATGACCATAGAGAGTACTGACCGCAGACTGCACTGCATGACCATAGAGAGTACTGACCGTAGACTGCACTGCATGACCATAGAGTCTAATGACCGTAGACTGTACTGCATGACCATAGAGAGTACTGACCGTAGACTGCACTGCATGACCATAGAGAGTACTGACCGTAGACTGCACTGCATGACCATAGAGTCTAATGACCGTAGACTGCACTGCATGACCATACAGAGTACTGACCGTAGACTGTACTGCATGACCATAGAGTCTAATGACTGTAGACTGCACTGCATGACCATAGAGAGTACTGACCGCAGACTGCACTGCATGACCATAGAGAGTACTGACCGTAGACTGCACTGCATGACCATAGAGAGTACTGACCGTAGACTGTACTGCATGACCATAGAGAGTACTGACCGCAGACTGCACTGCATGACCATAGAGAGTACTGACCGTAGACTGTACTGCATGACCATAGAGTCTAATGACCGTAGACTGTACTGCATGACCATAGAGTGTACTGACTGTAGACTGTACTGCATGACCATAGAGTCTAATGGCTGCAGACTGCACTGCATGACCATAGAGTAGTAAGACTAGCCATATACACCTTTGTGACTTCAGAGCCTGGCCCCATACATGCCAAGGTTACACCCGGTGCCTGTGTTGTGGGCACACAGCTATTGGATAATAAAATGCCGGTGTGTCCTGTATTCCGGAGGTCTCTGGGGATGCCCCATCACACCCCGCAGGCTGACCCTGCTACAGATGCGTAGTGTCTCTCTGGCTTGTTAATGATTCAGCTGCAGTATGATGTCACTGTGCCCCGTGTCACCGCGAATCCCGCTCTCTCTCTTCCTCCACAGATTCCACGTCTACCACCAACACCACCCTCCTGCGCCCTGCCAAGTGTTCCTCCTTCCTGGGGACTCAGCAATGTACCTGCGATGCCGGCTATGTGATCCAGCCAGGAGGCCTCTGTCAGGGTAACTGGGGAAGGGGGTGGGGGGCGGGTATACGGTGGTCATGTGTGATATGTGGATATTGGCTGCCACAAATCTGAGAGGTGACGGTGCCCGTTGAATGTTCACAAACAGAATGTGTGTGAGAGGGGAAGATCTTCCATGAACAGGGTGCTGTGGGGGGGTTGGCTGAGTTACAGTGAATTTATTCTTCAAATTAACGCAGAATTTAGATATTTAACCGAAAAGTAATTGATGGTCTGAAAATGTTCTCATGACCATTGTCCCAGCAGCCAGTCACATCTCCAAGAAGCCGACTAGGAAACCAAAGACCCCCCCCCTTTCCATAGCCATTAATATGGAGCTCTCCCCTTATGTGGGAAAGGTATGGTCGCCCGGGGCAGAACATTTTTTTTTCGCCCCCCCCCATATTATATAAACATCCACTAGAACTGTACCCCCCACCCCCACACATATATATCAGCTAAGGAACTACAAGTGCAAGCATACCATCATTGTCCCTGTACACCCCCCCCTACACACACATCACCCAGGGAACGGCAATATCTGGTTGTTGTACAG